CAGTGAAATGTGCTTTTTTTTTTTTAGAGAAGAACTTAAAAACTGGATACTCTCTGCCTGTTCCATGGCACTGCTCTTCTAGTTGTTTCCCAAGTTACATGATGGCGTTATGCAAGGTTCACTGATATTGGGAGTGACGCCATAGCTCAGTGGCAGAGTTTGTGCTGGGGGGGGGGGCACAGCAGGGAGAGCACATACCTTGCATGCACAAGCCCTGTGGTTCAATTGCCCTCTTTTCCACTCAAATAAATTGCAAGTAGCACCAGAAACTGCCAGCCAAAGTAGCCAATACTGGACACAATGAGACAGTATAACTCAGTGGGGTGGATCCCTTTGTTGAGCAAGTTGGAGCCTTTGTCCAACTTTCTGTTGAAGCCACTTAAGATCAAGGGATGCTCCTTAGGATGGAGGAAGGTATCATACTTAGTGGAGTGGTAGGATTCCCCCCAGTGTAAGGCAGATTTATATGTTCATTAGTTTGAACATATCCCTTGTAAAACGTTTTTTAAAAAAGAAATAAGTACTACTGTTGTTAGGAGCTGTGGTGGCTCAAGTGGTTAAGACGCTGAACTGCAGGCTGTGGAAGGTCAGTAGTTCAGCAGTTCGAGACCCAGGGTGCCGCATGATGGAGTGAGCTCCCGTCTCTAGTTCCAGCTCCTGCCAACCTAGCAGTTCGAAAGCAAGAAGTTGCAAGTAGATAAATAGGTACCACTTTGGTGGGAAGGTGTAACAGCGTTCCGTGCGCCTTGGTGTTTAGTCATGCCCGGCCACATGACCACGGAAACATCTTCGGACAGTGCTGGCTCTTCGGCTCTGAAACGGAGATGAGCACCGCAACCCTAGAGTCGGATTTGACTGACTTTCGAGCAAGGGAACCTTTACCTTTACTACTGTTGTTATTTAAAACAAAGTGTGCTGTCAATTGTTTGGGGGAGAGGTGGTAGAAGTTGTATTGAGTAAACATGGGAATCTCTGTCACAAAAGAGCGCAGAAGGAGGGTGGCTTGGTTTGCAGTGGTTGGAAGAACAGAAAACAAAGAGGAGTTAGTTGAAGAGAAAAAGGTTTGACAGATTGCTGTAAGTCCACCATTTATTATTTATTTATAGTATTTAGATCCTGCCTTTCTGATCAGTCAGGGCGATCAAGGTGGCTAACAATTAGAACAATCATAATGAAAATACTAAAATACATATACAAAACCTAGAACAGCAAATTAAAACAGAAGGCAGGAAGGATAGACCTATAAGGGAACACAAGATGAAACAAAACAGTCTTCATTTGCTGATGGAAGACAGTGATAGAAGGGGAGAGAGAAGTATCCCTGGGAAGGGAGTTCCATAATCTTGGTGCCACAACTGTGAAGGTCCTTTCTTAGGTTGTCAGCATGATGAGTACGGTCCACACATTTGACTTCCTTAGTGATTATGGTTTGTTCTGAGGAAAAGGGGTCTCCCTCTCTTTCCCCAACACTAAAGTGGAACCAGTATGTTAGCAATCGAGTAAGAATGTTATTGTGAGCTGTCTAAGCCTGTGATCCCAGTCACATTTACCTACAGCAGCTGCCAGCATCCTTCTTCTCTGCACCCAGGCCCGCAGCAGTTGCAGGTGTCAAATGCGCTGGGCCTGGAGCCACTGCTGCCATTGATGGGGAGTTCTAGTGGCTCCCTAACTGTGTTGTTCTGTGCATGTGTTGTTCTGTGCATGCACAGACAACACAAGTCTATTGGGGGGGGATTTAAACCCCCTTTAATTTTTTATTTGATTACAGATTTTTTTGCAAACTTGAGGAAAGATCTGTTTAGCCCCTGCCAATTTAAGTATCTACAGGTGGCAGCCACACGTGGCTTATAGCATATAGATCAGCACATTTGTGGGATGGCTTAACACTAAGCAAATGAATAAAATGGAGGAATGTGGAATAAGCTGCCTTATATATGTCTTTAAATTATACTAAAAGCCAAATTGAAAGAATTGCTTGAATTGTTAAATGTCTGTTTAGGGCCGGTTCTGACATAAATGCCACTTTGTCGGGCTGGGCCACGTGTGTGTACCATAGTATGTGATGCCAGGTACCAGAGACAGAAACGGTATAAAGGACTGCAGCTGGTAAGCTCCAAGTTGGTGTGTTCTCACTGCTGGGCCCCATGGGCTGGGGGAGGTGCAGAGGAAAACCCAAATGGGCAGACTGAAGAGCTAGCGGTGCAGCACTAGGCAGACGCGTCCATGCTGCTTGACTGCTGCAGATGAGGTTGTTCAGCCTGTTGAAGCCACAATCAGAGTGGCTCTGCCCACTCCCCCCCCCCCCCCAACAGTCTCCTGTTCCCTCCCTTGCACTAGTTGCTTGTGGGCCACATAAGAGCCTTGGACGGGCCGGTTCTGGCCCCCAGGCCTTATGTTTGACACCCCTGGTTTAGGGACTCCTAGCAGTCCAGGGCTGTTGAACTTTTATGACAATGTCATTTTCTGTCACTGTGTAATCTAGAATTTCAGGTGTTCAAAATGAAGTTTGTGTGCTGTTGGGAGATTCCCCCCCCCCTGGGCCCGGGGGGAGCCCCCCCCCCCCCCCAAGAAAGCATTTATTTTAAACCTAGGCTGCAGGCAGTGGAGCCCGTTGAACCAGCTTTCTATCTTAGAAAACATCTCTGTGCACCCAAGTTTCACATTTGAATTGCAGTCCCAGAGAGGAGGATGTGCTCCTTCACTATGTTCTAGCTTGAAGAATGGGGTAGAACTGCGGTTTGTCTTACTTTTAGTAAGTACTGTAGTTTGACTTACTGTTAGTCTGTCTAAGTGGGTCTCCCTAGGGACAAAAATGTTTTTGGCACTGATTTTAAAACAAAAAATCTTGTGAAATCTTAGTCTAGTCAGAGTTATTGAGTAAAAGGTAAAGAAGTGAGGTGAGTATGAAACAGGGAGAATCCATTAGTACTTTTGACCATGTGTCTTGGGGTTTAGGGAATATTCACCAGTGCTGTACAAGGTGTACATAGGATCAGCTCATTTGACAGAGGTTAGTGTGCCTTAACCAAGCGATTATTCCAAGGAGTTGTGCAAGAGAATACAGACATGCTTTCTTGCTTTGTAACATAGAGGGATAAAACACCAATACATATGATAATCAGAATACAATTAAGAATTCACCAGACTTGGTTGTTCAGGTCATAAGAACATAAGAGATGCCAATGTTGGATCAGGCCAAAGGCCCATCCAGTCCAACACTCTGTATCACACAGTGGCCAGAAATACCAGTGCCATCAGGAGGTCCACCAGTGGGGCCAGGACATTAGAAGCCCTCCCACTGTTGACCCCCCCAAGCACCAAGATGACAGAGCATCACTTGCCCCAGAGCCCCTATCTATACCTTGTGGCTAATAGCCACTGATGGACCTCTGCTCCATATCTATATATCTAATTCTGATATATAGAATTAGATATCAGGGAATGCTCTGCAGCTGGCCTCCCGCCACTGCCGAGGGGGGGGAAGAGAGCAGCGAGGGGCGAGCGGCAAGCCGCTTGGCCCTCGCTTCGGTGCCAGGATGGGGGTGGGGGAGAGAGCAGCGAGGGCCGAGTGGCAAACCGCTCAGGCCGGGATGGGGGGGGAGGCAATGGGGGGGAGATCAAGGGGGGTGGAGGAGATGGGGGGAACCAGCGGGATGGGGGGTTCTTACCTCATCCTGCTGCTTCCTCCTCTGCCTCCGCCCCCCGCGAGTATCACGGGTCCGCCCCTTGTGCTTATCTAATTCCCTTTTGAAGCCGTCCATGCTTGTAGCCACCACCACTTCCTGTGGCAGTGAATTCCATGTGTTAATCACTCTTTGGGTGAAGAAGTACTTCCTTTTATCCATTCTAACCCGACCGCTCAGTAATTTCATGGAGTGCCTACAAGTTCTTGTATTGTGAGAAAGGGAGAAAAGTACCTCTTTCTCTACCTGCTCTATCCCATGCATAATCTTATAAACCTCAATCATGTCACCCCTCAGCCGTCGTTTCTCCAAGCTAAAGAGCCCTAAGCGCCTTAACCTTTCCTCATAGGGAAAGTGTTCCAACCCTGTCTAAACCAAAGCTAAAGTTCTCATTTACACGTCTCCTGTCACATGGTGGATGTAATGTTGTAATTCAGCAATGTCGGTTGATGTGTCAAATAGTGTTGAAATCCATACCCTTGGTGCATCATGCACAGTTCTTTGCCAATGTTAATGTCACAAGTTTTCAGTGACTTTGTTTTTAATTTTTCTTTAAAAACATAAGTAAATGTTGTACTCTTATCAAATTAAATTACTATTCCAGTAAAAATACTTTGAATTTGAGGTTTGAATTTGTTTGAATGTAACATTTTAAAAAACTTGATTTTTTTTTTATGTTAATCAAATATTTCAGTTCAAGAACCTGGGACATAAAATTAACATGGCCTGCTTTTAAAATGCATTTACAAACTATAAACAATTACCATACCCAAACAGATCACACTCTATCAGGTAATTTTGTGGAAAATTTTCAGTTTCTAATTTTTCTGGAAAACCCCACCACTGGCTTTGTTTCGGTCTTTTAGTCAATATGCCCTCCATCTGTTAATCTCAAAAGATGACCCCATGGTTTATTATCTCAGCTCCTTTGCGATGGGGAGGGTGACTTTATTCAGAGAAAATAAATATTGTATTTACTGGATAATGAATCTTGTGTGCTTCTTTTTGTAAAAAAAAAAAATCTGTGATAATCACATTTTCGTATAACAAAAGACATGCAGTGTACAAGTAAAGTGGAATCATGCCTGAGGGTGCTGTTGTATGTGAGAAAATCAGACACAGACCTCACAGTCTGGTTATTCTGTCCATGTACTGCCCTAAACTTTTTCAGACATTTTTAGATTTCAGTCCTGGCTGCATTTGTATCTTTCACTGGGATCATTTGGAGAGTCTTGACATTTGTAATGGGATTTGCCAACACAAACCTTCTGTTTCCTTATTCTCTTGTAACTCTGTGCTGTTTTTTTCCTCCCCCAGGTAGCTGGTTAAATGCAATCCTATCAGTAACGAAGGAGAGGTAACCATGAGAATAGCAGGTAAGAGTAACAGGTGGCCCCCTTTTCATCATGTGGTGAAACATGGAACCTTTTTTTTTGCAGCAATAGTGGATGATGTTGGCCTTGAAATGGCAAGCTGTGCCCCACAGAGAGGTTTCACCTCCCGCATTTGTCCAAGGTATTCCACAGCCTGGTTCTTAGGTATTTATTTGGGGAATTTATATGCCACCTGTGCAAGACAATCAACTCCCATTTGATATATTGAGACTCTTTTCCACTGTGATATTTTATGGCTTCCTTTTATACTATTAAGATTGCTTTATGCTGTTGGCTTTTATTTTTATTCAGGTGGACGGTTTTACCACTGCAGGCTTAATTTAATTGATTTTTTTACAGTTTTAATTTGTGGTTTATTGTTTTACTAGAAATAAGGCCCATTGTGGAAATAAATACAATGAGCTCAGAAGGAGCTCTGGGCAGATGCCCTGGCCTTGGGCATTCAGCATCAATTTGCTGTGGTCACCTCAGCAGGATATAATGACATAGAGCTTACCATTTTCTCCAGGGGCACTGATCTCTGCCATCTGAAGAGCAGTTGTAATTCTGAGTGATCTCCCCTGGAGATTGGCAACTTTGGTTCCCCATGAGGAAGGGTACGGCCTTTCTCCGCAGTGGAGACCAAAGCAGCTCACATCATTCTCCTCTCCCCCTTTTGATCTGCACAACAACCCTGTGAGGTAGGTTAGGCTGAAAGTCTGTGACTGGTCCGAAATCACCCACTCAGCTTCCACAGCAAGAACCTGGGTCTGGCAGACCTGGCTCTGAAGCGCTAACTGCTATGCCACACTGGCTGTGATATCGCCTGGTATCACAACTGAACTCCAGACAACAGATCTCTCTCTCCCTCTTGAGCAAATAACTGCTTTGGAGGGTATCCTCTATAGCATTCTTTTCAGTTGAGGTCTCTCCTCTGCCCAAACTCTGGCTTCCATAGATTCCATACAAAATCTCCAGGAATTTCTCAACCTAGAGCTGGCAACCCTAATCAAGACTGGCTCCAATGAGTTTTCTCCCAAAGGCCAAAATAGGCGTGGAAAAGGTCTCCTCCCCCCGCCTTTTTCTGACAGAACCAAGCTTGGTTGTCTAGCAACAGGCACTGAGGGGAAAGTAGGTTTGCCTGGAGTTTTGGGGAGTGGATCCTGTGGAGGGCAGCGTTTGGGGAGGGAAAGGACTCAGCAGGGTATAATGCCATAGGGTCTACCCTCCAAAGTAGCCATTTTCTCCAGGGGAACTGATATCTGTCATCTGGACATCAATTGTAATAGCACAGATCTCCAGGTCCCACCTGGAGATTGGCAACCCTAGGGGAAACACAGCCACCCAGCAGGAGGGTGAAGAGAATGGTTTTATGGCCACTGACCCACCTCAGTAGCCAGCCAGCCATGGCAGAGCCAGACAGGAGAGACAGCCATTTTCGCAGTTTATTCTGACAGGAATGTGGCCAAGCTGGCAGTCCCCAGCCAATGGCACACGAGTACTCTGGAGTGGTGGTTGATGGGCCAATAGCTGATGGAACACACTGCACAGCCAGTGGGAGAGCTGGAAATGGCCAATATGTAAGGGAATTATATATATAGGATTCTTTTTCATTAGCTGCCTTGTACGTGAATCTGGCAAGGCTGCATAGAAATATTTTTAATAAGCATATGTTCTAAATCAGTTAATACTCTATTTTCTTAAATCCAAGATTAAAGTTTGTGTGGTTTGAGATGAGGCTCCCTTTTAAAATCTCTGTGTAGTATATGATCAGAAATAGATTGTTTTTTTTCATATTTTAGTTCTGAGAAGAAACTGAGAGAATTTAGTCATCATTTAACGTAGAGCTCATACTTGTTTTTTTCAAAGCATAAGATTTTTCTATTTCTGTTACTGAGCTGGCTTTTCTAAAGTTGGGGCGGAGAAGGCATTTCAAGAAGCGAAATGGCAGCCTGTTTACAAAGAAATTTTGCCTACAAATTAAACCAATGTGTACATTAAATACATCAGTCAGTTTCTTATGGACAGAAGGGAAAATATTTCTGTATTAATTTTTCTTTGGGATCTTATTGTTAAATAATCCAGCCATATGCATACATAGTATATTGAAAGCCCAGTAAATTCAATGAAAGCATTAAGAAAGTGAGCTGGATTGATTTTACTACATGGTAGCTATTCTGTTTTCCATTCTGATTGTGAAGATTAGTTAGTTTTATTATTACGGTCTTAAGACCAGCATACAATACAAACATAGTATGAAAAAAGGAAAAAAACAGAGATAATATACAGAATAAAATCTAAATTTAAAAACTTTTAAAGATTGATTACATTCATTGTGGACAAAAAAAGAAAAGCATGACTGTACTAATTAATGTATCATAAAGTCTATTATGTGGAATGGTGAAATGCAAAATTTTTAATTTTCATTTTTTACGCTCTAATTGTAAATGGCTTTATAAATAGAAATTGATAAATGCAATTTTAAAAACTGATTCCAGTATTTTTGTGTTTGTCGTGAATTTGAAGTAGAGAGTATGGCTAAGCATTAGAGATGAAAGCAATAGTCTTTATTAGGCAAACAGTCAAGACATTTACAGTGCAGTCCTCTGCAAAGTTACGCTATTCTAAGCCCATTGCAATCATTTGCCTTAGACTGGAATAACTCATCATGGAACTGCTCTGTGAATCTTGGAAGTGCAGAAGAATATTGTTTGTAGTAGTTTCAAGTATGTTATTGCTCATATTGGTGCAGGGCTCTTTTTGTAGCAGGAACTCCTTTGCATATTACGCGACACACCCCTAATGTAGCCAATCCTCCAGGAGCTCACAGAGCTCTTCTTACAGGGGCTACTGTAAGCTCTTGGAGGATTGGCTACATTAGGGGTGTGTCGCCTAATATGCAAAGGAGTTCCTGCTATAAAAAGAGCCCTAGTTGGCATATAAAGAAAGGTGTGTTAGAGACTCGGGGGGAGTTTGTTTTCTTGCATATTGTAGCTGTGTGGAACAAGTAACTTGGGGGAGACATCTAAAGTGGAAAAAAATGTGGTGCAGAAGGAAATGGTTAAACGCCCCTTCCCTGAATCAGTTTGAGCCTTAACTGCTGCTTAGAATTAAAACAAAACCAACCAACCAACCAACACCCTGGCATGAATTTCCCACAGTCTCATCTTGTTTGGCCCTAAGCATCTGCTTTTTCTTAAATACTGCCCCATCTATTGTGGTACGACATGTCTGATGAATTGGGCGCCTTGCTTACAAAACCTACCACAATACATATGTTAGACTTTAAGGAGCCAGAGGATTCTTTTGGTGGTTTTGCTGCAGGTATTCCATATTCCATCTCTCTTTTCATGGCAATTAAGTTAGTGGTAACCTTTGCCTGTTGCATAAAGAATGAGGGAGGAGAAGGCAGGGATTGGATTACCCAAGCTCTTTGTGTTGGTCAAGTAAAAAATAGTGTAGTTTCTAAGACACAAATCACTATTTACTGAAACTACCCAGATTAGTAGGAGTGGGATATAAAAGTGTATCAGACAGTAACCACTAGGAAAAAAAATAAGTGGGTTGAATTCAGAATAATTGCCCTTATTTCCTACCATTTAAAACCTAAATTAGGCGTCTCTTATTTATTGTGTCTTTGAAAATATTTGTGCGGGCTTGTGGGCATGAAATAAAAGTAGGAGGGATTGATTTGATTCTGCAGTATACAAAAGGCTTTGTATCAGGTGAAGACTGCTTGAGAGGCCATCAGTGGTTCTTGAACCCATAATTTCTTGGCATGTTGGTTTGAGAACAGCTACATCACAGTATAGCAAAATATTCCCTGGGGCCTTAATTGTACAAAATATATCAGAATGCCTGTGAAGTTAGCCCCCCTGGCTCTCAAACAGGATATGGAGTTTACAGCCCAGCTGCTGCATGTTGCTTATGAAACTCTTCTGAAGCCCTATAAAACTATTACTGAAAATGTCTCAAAGAATATACAATTCCAGCCCTCATGGCACATTTGCAAATGCAGGACGAAAAAACATTTGAGAACAAGTAAACAGTGCTATAATATAATCTGTAATTGTGACTTCTAAACCCACACATGAGTGCACTACAGAGCTTGATTAATATTTTTCATCCTTTAAGCGAATAATTTTAGAATATTGGTGTTGCAAAGTGATTGCACTGAGAAATGAGAAATTCCTGTTTTTGGTTTTTGAAATAGGAGCTGCAAAATTGGTGGTAGCAGTAGCGGCGTTTCTGCTGACAATTTATGTCATATCTCAAGTATTTGAAATAAAAATGGATGCCAACCTCGGCAATCTGTTTGGTAAGTGACTGTCTTTGGTTGTGTTGTTCATAACTGCAGCCAGACTTATGATCTTTAGTCGATTTACATATGTTATATCTGGGATTTGGAATCGTCTTCTGACCCGTTTTTGTATACAAAACAAATGTAGTCAGTTCAGCTTATTTGTAGCAAATCACAATGGTCCTGCCTTCAATACAGTGCAGTTTTGTTTGCAGCTAATCTTTTATTGTTTCATATTTAATTTTAAATAGGTATTTAGTTACATCCAATAAACCCTACATGGAAATATTTATAGGACAGAAGTGACTCATTCCTTAATTATCAAAAACAGACGATTATCATGCCATATACAACACTAAGACACAAAACTGTGACTTCCATAGGAATCCCATTCCAAAGCTTGTTTGCTTCAGTTGAAATCAATATTTATGCATTTTCTTTGAGGTACAGACTTTAATATGTTTTGTAAACCTATTAACTTAGTTTAGGGAATGCCATGATTATTTTAAACTTAAAAAAAATGTTCTCTCTTTAGCGAGATCACCACTGGACCCACCTGTGCGCTGTAAGTATCATGGGGCTGGATTTTACTTACGTATTTAATTTTGTAAATTAAACGTGGGCCACCCACTAAATCTTTCTTCTCCCCTGTGCCCCAAAGGAGAGGAAAAACCTATTTTGGTCACTTAAAGATGGCCTTTAGACAGAAACTACCATGGTGGCTGCTTTTCAGAGCCCCCTCCCAAGGGCACTCATATGTCACATATTTCATTTCAGGGGCCAAATGAAAATGTTTCTCTTTATGTTCGTTTTTTTTTGGGGGGGGGGGAGTTTGGTTGATGCTTTTTTCCCTCCATTCTCTATGATTGTTCTTGTGAGTGTTAATTAGCTCTGTGGCTCTGCTGAATTTCACTCATATAGTTTTATTCAGGGCTTTTTTTGTAGAAAAAGCCCAGCAGGAACTCATTAGCATAATAAGCCACACCCAACAGCAGAAACTCATTAGCATATTAGGCCATCCCCCCATGTTACCAGAAGTGTGGCCATCCAGCCACACCCACCTTTTGCTTCTTATTCTGTTTACCTTGATTGTTGTCAAAACCCAGGGGGGGGGTTGTAGCAGGAACTCCTTTGCATGTTAGGCCACACCCCCTAATGTAGCCAATTCCAATGAGTTTCTGCTGTTTGGTGTGGCCTGTTATGCTAATGAGCTCCTGCTGGGCGTGGCCAACTCAGGAGCCAGCCGGAACTCTGTTCCTGTGCGTTCCTGCCCAAAAATAGCCCTGGTTTTATTAATTAAAATATTTATATGAAGTATGCTCCTTTCTGGAATGAGACTTAAGAGATTTGTCAGAAAGGGCATTCCATAAAGCTGGAGTTGCCATCTAGAATGAGGAGGCCCAAGCCACAGCAAGCCACACAACTCACTTCTTGAGGCTAGAATTTTATTATTTATTTATTTCATTCACTTTGCTAGGCTACCCTTCCCTGAGATGGGGCTTAGGGAGGCTTACATCAAAAGTAAATACAATATATGAGAAAAATTAAAACAACATTAAAATATATTAATTCATAAAAAAACAATACTGTGTCCAAGATGATGGATAATTTCAGTATCCATCTGCCCCCTGGATGGAGGGGAAAATATGGAGAAAAAGAGGGGAGGTGGGAGTATGAGAATGCCAAACCGTTGCTGTCCTCAACCAAATGCCTGGTGGAACATCTCTGTCTTGCAAGATCTATGGAAAGGTATTAAATCCCATAGGGCAAGGGTGTTCTCTGACAGAGAGTTCCACCAGGTGTGGGCCAGGGCTGAAAATGTCCTAGCCCTAGTCAAGGACAGCCGGATCTCTCTCGGGCTGGGTGGGGACCACAAGGAGATTCTTATTACTAGAGTGTAACACTCTTCCCAAGGGATAGTGGGAAAGGTGGTCCTGAAGATATGTAGGTCCCTGACTGCTAATGGCCTTGGGTCAAAACCAAGACTTTAAACTGTATCCGGTGCTCCACTGGGAGCCAGTGCAGCTTGCGCAGCCCTGGATAAATATGTGCCATCCAAGGGGTCTCTGTAAGGACCCATGAAGCCACATTCTGGGTCAGGCGCAAGAGTAGGCCAGCGTAGAATCACAGTAGTCTATCCTAGAGGTGATTGTTGCATGGATTACTGTGGCTAGGTTGGGGTGAGACAGGTAAGGAGTCAGTTGCCTAACCTGGCACAGTTGGAAAAATGCCAGCTTGGCAACCTTCGTGATCTGGGCCTCCGTAGACAAGGTGGTATCCAGTATCACACCCAGACTCTTGACTGTTGGGGCCGGTTATTAGGGGCACCCCGTCAAGAGCTAGGAGTTGACTACCCAACGAGGGCTCCACCTGACCCAGCCAGAGAACCTCTGTCTTACCCAGATACAGGAGTGTGGCAACCTGAGAAAAGGACCGTCTTGATTGGGACACCAAGACTATATGATACTCTCCCCAGAGAGATACATTCTTCATTGTCTTCAGCCAGTAGTGAAGATTTCTCTGTTTTGTCTGGCATTCCCTCGCTGATTCTCATTGACCTTCCATCTTGTTCATCTGTTTGTGTTTTGTTTTAATTGTTTTTAATTGTCTGTCTGTATTTTTAAACTTTATGTTTTTATTGTTCAGGGAGGAAAGGTGGCTTAAAAACATCTTAAATAATAAGTAAATAAAATAAGGCCTGCATTCTTTCCTTTAACTTTTTTTTGTAAACTAAAGAGAACATCTGGGCTTATTTTATATGTACACACATTTATAAAATGAAACTTTATTTCTTTTTCCTCCTCCCAAAGCTACAAAACCACCAAGATATAAATGTGGAACTACAAAAGCTTGTCCAGAAAAACATTTTGCTTTCAAAATGGCAAGTGGAGCAGCCAACGTCGTCGGACCTAAAATTTGTGTAGAAGATAATGTGTACGTATGAGCAATTTCTGTTCTATTAATATCGATGTGAACATAGTGAGAGAAAATTTGTGTTCTTTCTTGCATCAACTAGGAAGGTGGTAAAATTAATCAGAAATTCACCTTGCACTGAGGAAGACATTTAAAAAAACCCAGTTCTTTCCCCAAGTACTATCACATGTTTCTTGCCATGTAAATTACTCACTGTAGGTAATGTTTCATCTTTTTCTAAAAGCCCAGTCTCAAGCTGAGGGCTTATCTGTACGTTACAGTGGGTACAAATTGTGTTGGAAGTCCTGTGATCATGTGATCAAAGACACATGGAACTCAAGGAAAAGGGGCAAACAGCCTCTTCTCCACACAGCTGTTTTTGCTTGACAAATCAGCAGGGGTGGGGACCCTGAAGCCCCGCCCCTCCGCTGTGCTTGGAGCCGCACTGAGTGACGGAGTACTTTGTAAATGTGAATGTCCATTGTGATGTATAAATAAGCCCTGAGGTATTTTCCAGGCCTGCAACACTGTGACTGTCTTATGCAAAATATATGCTGTGGTGCTTCCCATTATCTGATCCC